ATCTGAAAATTTTCCACATAAACAACTGAACAGTATATGTGAAAGCTCCAGAACAAAAAGAAGCAAATTCATGCAGGAGATGTCAAGAAATAAACAAGGGACTGAAATGAATAAAATTGAAACAAATAACAATAAAAAAAGAATCAATGAAACAAGGAGTTGTTTCTTAGAAAGAAAAATCAACAAGATGGACAAACCCTTATATCCAAACTAACAAAAAGTCAGAGAGAGAATATTCAAACTACTAAAATCAGAAATGAAAAGGTGGTCATAAGAATAGACTCTGAGGAAATACAGGAAATCATTAGGTGATTTCAGCACAGAATTCTATCAGAATTTCGAAGAAGTGCTAATGCCAATACTCCTCAAATTGTGCCACACAATAGAAAGAAAAGGATTATTGCCAAATTCTTTTTTTTATGTTACTATCTATAATCTGTATTTAATTAAACATTACATTTTTAAAGAGCTGTATAAACACAATACTTAAACAAGAATAGAAATATACATATAACAAAATTGACTCAAATTTGTATCAATAATAATTCATACAAATGCAAAGTAGTCATTTCTATATCATATTCCTTTTTTCTTCTTAGAAAGAAATTATGATAATTAATTATTTATATTATGATAATTATTTATAACATACCCTGTTTAAATGAAAACAAGATTTTTAAACAATATTTGGGAATGTGAGCATAGTACTCTCCAAATTGCTTCCTGCTTTTTGTGGACACTGTCAATCCCAAGGGGATTGTGAGAAAAACCAAAACCATGCCTAAATCTTGGCTGTGGTAGTGAGGCTGCATCCTCACAGTGGTTTTGAATGTTGGATCACCTGAGCCACCACTTGATCAAACCATATTAGTCTGGAAGGAATCCACAGCTTTTCACCTTCTATAGAAACTAACACAAAATGTCTTTTTCAAAGTAATATGTCCTTAGCCAAATTCTTATGAGGCCACAAGCTACCCTGATAACCAAACCAACCAAATTTGTAACAAAGAAAGATAATTATTGAGCAATCTCGTTCATGAATATTGATGCAAAAATTCTCAATAAATACTGGGAAACTGAATACATGAACACATAAAAAAATCATCCAATGTGATCAAGTATGCTTCATCTCAGAGATGCAGGGATATGTCAACACATGAACATCTGTCACATAATCATAACATTTGATACTGAAAAAACATTTGACAAAATACAACACTGCTACATGATAAATGTTCTGCATAGAACAGGGATACAAGGAACATACCAAAACATAAAAAATGCAGTGTACAGCTAACTGACAGTCAACATCAAATTACATGGAGAGAAAGTCAAAATGATTCCTCTAAAATCGGTGGCAATACAAGGCTCTCCAGTTTCTCCATATCTGTTCAATACAGTACCTGAGGTTCTAGCTAGAGCAATAAGGCAACAAAGGAATTCAAGTGGATAGAAATTGGAAAGGATAAATTCACTTATGTATGAGGACATACATAAGTGGCACCAAATTCTATCAGGGACCTCCTAGAGCTAATAAATACTTTCAATAATGTGGGTAGATACAAGATAAACTAAAAAATCAGCAGCCCTCCTAAATACAAATAAAAAATTGGCTGAGAAAGAAATGAAACAACACCCTTTACAATAGCTACACATATTAAAACATATTTTGCAGTAACTCTAACCGAACAAGTGAAAGACATATTTGACAAGAATTTTAAGTCATTAGAGAAGAGACCAGAAAATTGATAGATCTCCTATGCTCATAGATCCGTACAATTAACATAGTAAAAATGGCAACCTTACCAAAGCAATTCAATACAATCCACATCATTATCCCAACAAACTTGTACAGCCACCTTGGAAATCAGTATAGTGGTTTCACAGAAGACTTGGAATCAATCTACCTCAAGGCCCAGTGATACCACTCTTGGACATATACCCAAAGGATGGTCAACCCTTAAACAAGGACACTTGCTCAACTATATTCATAACAGCAATATTCATAATATCCAGAACCTGGAAACAAACTAGATGTCCTTCAACTGAAGAATGATAAAAAATAGTGTGATATGTATACACAATGAGGAATTACTCAGAGGAAAAATCAATGGCACCATGAAATTTGCAGGCAAATGGATGGGCCTAGAAAAAAGTCATTCTGAGTGGGGCTACCAAGAGTCATAAACAAACATGGTATGTCCTCATTCATAAGTTGATAATAGATTTAAATTAAAGGATAACTAGTCTACAATCCTCAGCTCCAGAGAAGCATGGTAAAAAAGAAGACCCTAAGAGGGATACATGGATCTCCCTGGAAAGAGGAAATAGGTGAGATTTTCTGGGTAAACTGGGGGTAGGGAGTGGCATAGAAGGGATAAAGGGATAGGAACATAAGGGATCAGGATGGTAGAGTTGGGGGCAGGACAGAGCTGGAGATTAATGAAAGAGATACCTTCATAGATTGGCCTTTATTAGGGTTAAGCAAGAATCTCATGCCAGGGAAAGCCCCAGGAACCCACAAAGATGTCCCAAGCTTAGATCCCTAGAAATAGTGGAAGGGTTGCCTGAACAGGACTTCCCCTGTAATCAGAAGGTGACTACCCTAATTGTCATCATAGAGCTTTCATCCAGTAAATGATGGCACTGGCGGAGCTCTGGGAGTCCAGCTGAATAGAGCATAGAGGTATTATATGAAAAAGAAGAGGTGTCAAGATCATGATGAGGAATACCACTGAGATATGAAACCTGAGCTGTGGGAGCTCATGAACTCTGGAGAAACAGCTAGGGAACTTGCAGGTGACCTACCTAGGCCCTCTGCATGTCAGTGGTAGTTGTGTAGCTTAGTCTTTTGTAGGGCCCAGAACAGTGAGTTGCTCTTGGGAACTTCCTCCCTATGGTGGTATATCTTGTTCAGCTTTGATGCAGGGGGAGGAGCTTGATACTGCCTCAACTTGATATGGCATGCTTTGTTGAATCCCATGGAGTGTTTAACCCTATCTGAATAGAGGAAGAGGAGTGGGGTGGGAGGTAAAATGAATGAAGGAAATGGGAGAAGAGGAGGAAGCAGAAACTGCAGTTAGTATGTAAATTAAATAAAATAATGATAAAAATGTGGAACTGTACATGCTACCTTCCTAGACTACAATAGAAGATATGTAGGTGACATGAAAAAGTGAAGAAATGACTAAAGAGGTAGAATAGGGGAGAATGCTGCTCATTTTGTCTACTTTTACCCACCACAGAATTTTACTTCTTTTATTCTGAAGCTACCAAAGTCCAGCTTGTTTCTGCCCTCTTCTCCCTTAGAACCTTAATCAGAGAAATGCTAGAATCCCTTTTCATCCCTTTTAAGTGCCTTAAGAGCAACAGTTCCTATTCCTCCCTTATTGGCAATGACCATTGATAAAACTAATTCTTCTTCATCTTCTACCACCATGCCTACCCTTTAAACTCCAATGAACCATCATCATGTTTAAAGACAATAAAAATATGTGCATGTTTGCATAGCTCGATATTCAAGGACCATTAAAATGGCTAAGAGATGACAATATCTACAACACTGCTTCAAAAAGTATTGCTTGTGTCCCATTATATCCCCTCACTTCCCTCGTCATCTTGCCTCAGGCTGTTAGTCTTTTATCTGAGAAAACTTAAAATTTTATTCTGACAAAATGGTGTTCATTGTTTCTCATCTAATTATTGGAAGATGATAGGTAAAAGTGTCCTTTGTGTGGAGTGAGAGTTTTGTCACCAATTAGCATTTGGCTTTCTATAATGTTGGACTTGCTGAAAGAATGATTATGGAAGTGGGATATCTTGAGACAACAGGGGGAAAAGATAAATTACTGATGTTGATACCTAATTTACCCTTTACTCTATGCCAGAAACTTAGGAAAAGGCATGTATAAGAGATGAATGCCTATTTAAAACATGAAGCAATGACGTCAGGGTTTTCAGGAAATCCAGTGTTAGCAGTCAGTCCCATCTTCCTCTGGCCAAGAAAGAGCAAAGATCCTGCAGATGGGACCCAAGAAGAAGGCTTCTCCATACACCAGTTCTATCGTTCAATTAATCCTGACCAGAGAGGCACCATCCATGTACAGTGCCAAGCATCATGAGGATGCTTTCCCTCCACTGTTAACAGAAGGAAAACTTATTACAGGGGTTTTTAGGGAATGAGGGCCAGAGTATATCTAAGTACCCATGCACACAGAAAAGTAAGTGGCCAGGAAAATATCTGCCACTTAAGAGAGGACATGAGCAGAGAGCCAGAATAGCATTATCTGCATTTTCATGAGGCCACTTTACTGATCTTGGTCCCACCTGGGACCAAGAAGAGGAACAGTTTGGCCATGTAAGTCCATTCATTAAATGCTCTTGAATTTTGTCCCAGAAATGACTATAAATATGGATCTTGGCCTTTTTATATGCAAGAAATAGATGGCAATCTATTTTTTACTAAATAATAATTTCACCTGTGACCTAATTTTCATATCTTAGTAAACACTAAACAGTGTCAACTGTTTTGTGAATTGCTCAGAATTTATCAAATTTCCCATTAGTGCTATATCTCAGCCACCATTTCCATGTTAATTCTTTGTCACAGAAAAATTATTTCATTCTCCAGCCCCCACTCCAATAAGTAACAAAGAATTTCACCCTTTCCAATTGATCACTCTTCTTGACTCATGCCAATGTGAGTCACATTCCATTACAATCAATGTGGGTTTTTTGTTTGTTTTTTCTCATAGAGATTATTCTAATGGAATATGCTCACCTTCTTCAGCAACTTTAGTGGGGCTGAGAAATATTACACGGGGCCTTCCTATTAAATGCAGAAAGCAAAAAGAAGCAAACAGAAACACAGCGAGAGTTTCAAAATTAACTTCATTTTCAAGCAAAAGTGGTGTTACTAATTGAATGCTCTTTTTATTTGTAGAATCATATGGCTGTATTAGGCTAAATGTATGCTTTTGAATAAAAGAAAATTGAGAAGAAAGGAGGTAAGAATAGCTATTCCAAAAGCCTCAAGATGAGCTTCTCTGTGATGCCATGCGATCACAAACAGCCATAGCAACTCTGTTATCTGCAAAACAATGATAAAATGATTAGAATTTCACAATTTAAAAAGTGGATGTGACACTTCAAAAACATCAGCATATTTGTATGTATGTGAAAAAAGAAGTTAATTTGGAAAATAGGAAAATGGACTTTTAATTTTTTCTACATATTTTTCACTTAATTTTTCTGTGAGATAATTGTTAGATAAGGAGTTGGAATTAATCTTAAGAAACTGATTTTCTCTTTGTAGTGTTTCCATTACTCACCTTCCTGAAATCAATGAGTTGGTTTGGGGTCAAAATCTTTTCTCCCAAATTGAGCACCTGCTTTTGCACATTTATAGCAGCCTTTGCACCAGGAGCGATTCACAGTTTTGCATGATGAACACACCCAATTCACTGGAGTATGGTGTAAGAGGGGTTTCTCTGGTTTGATTTCAGGGGATTTTGCTCCTTGTGCTTGCTTGGGTTCGAAGGCCTTTACCCCTAGAGGTTGCTTGGTCTTTTGTTTTGGAGGCTGTTGTTTTGAGGAGTATTTATTCACACTGTAACTTTTACTTTTTCCTAGGGACATTGCTTGGAATCTGTTTGGTTCTTCCCTCTGGCTCTGGTTCTTGCCATTTCCCTGTAGCATCACCTGATCCTTTTTCGCACTAGGGCTTTCACCAGTAGCCAGGGGTATCATCTGCTGAATATTGATTGTGTTCTCCTTCTGCCAACTTCTATGATCTTCTCCCAGGGTATCTGTCACCTGAGATGACTTTTGATACTCTTTCTGTTTACAGCTAAGGCTGCATCCCAGGTCAGGCTTCCTCAAGAGAATCCCTGGATATTTTTTCAGGATAGCGCTGGTTTTATTCACCTGGGTAGCTGTTTCCTGGGGAGATACTGAGTCTTCTTTAGTGTTATGGCCGATGCTGTCTTTCAGGGCAACCACCTTCCTGGGAATCCCTGGATATGGCTTCTGGGTGTAGCTGGTTTTGTTATCCTGGGTATCCATCCCCTGGGGCATTACTGATTTTTCCTTTAGGCTGTGGTTACTGTTGACCTCCAGTGAAGCTGTTACCTGGTCCTTCATTGGATTTTTCTTCTCAGTGGCAGTCACCTGGGATATGACATGACTTTCCTTGTGGTTGTTGTTGCTGCTGTCCCCATGGACATGTATTCCACAGTGTTTCTCTGGACCTTCCTCTCTGTGGCTTACACTCTCTCCCAGGTGATTTCCATCTGGGTGAGTGTCAGAGCATTCATTCGGTCTATGGCAGAGTTGGCCCCAGGCAGAAGCCATTGCTTCCCTGGATCTCGGTGTAACCCACATGCCAGGTGGGTAGATTGCTGTAGGAGTCATCTGAGGCACAACTGTAGCCATGGCTGCTGCTGTTGCTCCTGATTCCATCACTATTGGACATGTTACGGGTGTTGAATACGGAAATCCCAATGGAAATTGCGCATTGAGTGGTACTGGATTCGGCACAGGCATTCGAAGAAAGGGATGCACTGTTTGTACCCAGGGACCTGGAAGTCCTGGCACATAAGACAAGACTGATGAGATTGCCCTCTGGTCCTCCCCATTGGGTATGGTCTGGACCACTCTGGATCGCAATCCTTCCTGCTCCTCATTCTGAAAGGACCACACTGCTGCCCTACAATTTCCCATCCTAGGTTCGGGTATATCAGGCAATGCAGACCTCTCTGCTTGGAGCAGCCTCCCACGAAGTACTTCACGCTCGTCCATTGCCTCTTGTAGGGCAGTCTGTGTAGAAACAAGTTGAGCTGCAGCCTGGTCCCTCTCCTCTCGCAACCTTTGTAGTTCAGAGGCCAGAGTCCAAGATGCTGTCTCACGCTCTCCCACCTGGTCTTGTAGCCTCCCAACTCTACGTGCCTGCTGTTCACGCTGCCTGGCAGCCACTCTTACACTCAAAGCCAAAGCGCTCCAGGTGCAAGCCCTCTTGAGGGAGCGTGGTACTTTGGGGTCAACAAGGATGGCATGGAGCTGATCTTCTATCTCATTCCAAGATCGAGAGCGAAAGGTCATGTAGAATTCTGGACCCCCTCCGTTCATAAGGACTTCGTTGTTAATGAATCTGATTACTTCAGTATGTCGGAAGCCGCTAGTATGGTCCCCAAATTCAACTGCCATGGCTGTTACCGGTTATTCAAATAATACTCTCATGGATCTCCAATATGGTCACTACCACATCTGCCACACATGTGGCCAAACTGTTACCCAATTCCCTCCAGATTCAGTCCTTGTTGAACACTTGGTTGCTCTTCAACCTCCTTCTAGCCGTCTTCCTTCCCCAAACAACAGACAAGCTGATCTTCTCACCAAGCTCTCCTTACTCTACTGTACGCTACTGTGACTGCCTTAAGAGACATTCCACTGGACACGTCACAAAGGGGAAAAACAGAGTCATGGCACAAGGCATGCTGGGAACAGCTGTATTCACCCTTAAACTACCTAAAAGAAGCGCACCCAAGGTAGATATTGTGGGTTGGTAGTGCAGAACACAGAAAAGGATATGTGAAATGTCTTTCTGGAGACCATAAGCTAGTGGGTGAAATGAAGACATCAACAATATACCTGTTGCTGATGAGCAAGTTAGAATTTCTGGGTTTGGTAATGGGTAACAGAGCAAGGAAGAACAAGACAAATTGGCCTACAGGAATAGTTAGTTTAAGGGAAATAGGTTTTCATACCTTTTAGTTCATGGAGACGAAAAGGATTCAATATGGGTCTTTCCTCTTCTTTTTTCTTTCTTTTTTAAATGTTTTTTGTTTGCTTGCTTACTTGTTTATTTTGTGAAACCAAAATTGGCTGAAGAAAGGAAGTGCAGGGGTGCATTTTTCCACCATACGCAACAAAATGCTGGGCTTGCAAAGCTGGCATCAAGAAGAGTAGAAGGTTGTGTAGTATTGGGCAAAGACTGTTATGTACCTGTACATAAACTAGCAGTTAAAGATTTTTTTAAGGGGATAATGATGAATGCCATTTCATTGACTGAGTAGGTGAGGAAGAGAAAGCCAGGAGGAGGTCATCCAGACTTTAGTCCTCCTAGATGACCTCCTTCATATGAAGGTCAGTGCCTCCTTTTATTGAAAGGGAACAGGAAATTTCAGAACTTGACTTTCCAAATTAGAATTCTCAGATGTAACATTTTAGCTAAAGTGAACAGCATTGGATGTCAGACGTTTCTGGGTCCTTGTGTGGGCTACTATAAACTGTCGACAAGAGGACAAGAGCTTTTCCATTTCTGAGCAGAAGGAAGGAGTTACTCTTCAGTCAATGCTTGCATAGTTCAACCTCAGTCCCTTTCACAAAAAAAAAAACAAAACAAAAAACGCTGATTCCCCAATTGAATACTAACTTCTTCTTCTGTTATTTAATACCAGTCTTTTCCTTTTATTGAGCTCAAACTATATATTATATCTCTACTGACATACTTTTTTTAGTCTCTTTCCCTCTATAAGCTGATTTTCTAATATCATTTTCTATTTCTTAATTTCCACTTATATAACTACATAAAATATCAAAAGAGTTATGTTGGTGTCTCTCCCTGCACAATAGTAAAAGTTTACAAATACACAAATCTTTCATTGTGACCTTTGTGTAACAATGATAAATAGAACAAAAGACTAACAATGATCTACCAGATAGAATGGAAATCACGAGTCTATCACTCCCTTAATAAAACTAATGTTTCCCAAGTTTTTCTAAACCACAGATTCTATTAATAAAAATAAGGGGTCATGTTAGCTAATGATCTGATAACTGGACAACTACTAACTATTAGTCAGGTAATATATATTGTGTTCATACTCTAGACAAAGGGATGATTCATTCCCAGCAGAATGAAGCAGAATGGTGTATGATTTCATCACATTTTGTGAACAAATTTTCAGTTTAATCTTACACTTGCCAACTTCCACTTAATATTTTCAGACAAAAGAAACTGAAGAAAGTGAAACTACAAACAGTAAGACAATAGTGCAAAAGTAATTATCACTTTCATATTACCTCCTTTGTAACTACCAAGGAAGCCTCTTTGGGAAACTGGGACTTAAGGTGAGATTTAAACAATATGTAAGATTTACATAAAGATATTGAGGAAGAAAGGAAATCTAAAATTGGTGAATTGGTGTATCCATATTATTTGCCAACTTGCTGTTTGTGCAAGATCTGCAATTGGTACTACTGTTCTACCATATCCATTTAAATTACATTTCTCCATTTGTAGGACAAGTGTTCCTTGTGTTTTCATACCACTATGTTTTTAGAAGCTTGCATCTGGTCTTCCACCTACCTACCTTGTATATTTCAGCTATTTCCATGGATGCTCTTTCCTAGAGATACACATCTGATACCACCAGGAAGGCACCATGTGTCTACTGGCATTTGTGATATTTCCAGGATCTAGATGCCTTCTGAGTGCTGAAGGTATCATCTGTTTCTGATCAGAAACAAAACATTCTGCATATAAAAGCAGAAACTAAGGTATGCTTTACAAGTGGAATTAGTCTGAAGCATGGCATATTTAGAAATATGAAGACCAACATTAAAGAAAATACAAATGAAAATTAACAACCTTGTATATTTTTTTGTACATTTGCCATGGAAATATATATCACAAACTTCAAATATTATTAACACCTATATGTGAAAATAAACATATATAAATCTTACGAAAATAAAGACATTTTACTGATTCTATAAGGTTTGCATAACTATTATAAGATTCATCTATATGTTGCTAGACATATTAAAAGGCAAGTATAAGAGAAGTTCCCTCCTCTTATTATGTATTAAATTAAGAAAACTACTATTATAAATAATAGCATTTGAAATAATAAATTAAATAAAAAAATGCTTTGACTCCAAAATTTAAGTTCAAGGACAAGTTACTGGGGAAAAGGATTTCTATTTTTGTTTCCACAGAAAATGAAAAGCTGTGGATTCCTTCCAGACTAATGTGGTTTGATCAAGCCAGACTGCCTGAAACAGTACCAGGTGATCCTACATTCAAAACATGTGGACAAAGCAGCCTTACAGACTATAGCCATGATTTCTGCATCTTCTTAGAATCCCCCATGACAGTGCCTCTTACCAGCAGGAAGTATTTTTATATTTTAACGTGAGCTTCTATTCTTATATTTGTTAAATAGATATTGGTATTCCATGAATTTTATATTGTTCCTTTTGTTTTGCATCTTTATCAGGTGACCAAATTTACACTAAAGTTTCCATCACTCTTATGATGCTGATTCCTATACTGTTTCTCTAAGCAGTCTCTTAGTCAAGTTTAAGACTTGTACTATATAATGAAATTCCTGAATACCTCACATAAACCTTTGTTACAAGTAGTTTTTCCTGCCGCCAGTCCCACTGCCAGCGCCAGCCCCAAATAACACACAAAGAGACGCTGTATTAGATATAATTCTGTTGGCCTGTTAATTGTTTCTTATGGGCTAGCTCTGCCTTAAGTGTTAACCCATTTCTATTAATCTAAGTATTTCCACGTGGTCTCATCTTACTGGGAAATGGGGCCAGCATTTGCCCTCCCCAGACTCTCCATGTTGACTCCACCTTACTGCTTCCTCGAATCCTCCTTGTCTCCTAGTCCCGCCTATCTTGCTTTCCTATTGGCCAACAGTGCTTTATTCATTAACCAGTATGAGAAACATATTTACAGAATGACCTGTCCAACCATATCCTCTTTTCTGTCTAAATAAAAAGAAGGGTTTTAACCTTAACATAGTAAAATATATCACATAATAGTTACCCAATAAGAATTACAGTTAACAATATTTCATCATCTACCCTATCTTTATGGGTCTAAAGTCTTATATGTACCTTATCTTTAATCCTAATTAAGGAAAACTATAACTATAACTATTTGTCTTCAACTCCCTCTAGAAATGACAGAGAAAAATCACTGCCTGGTCAGTTATCCGAAGTTCTTTTGTAATCTTTTATGTTTAGCCCATAGGCCATAGTGTTTCTGGCAGACTCTTTAGTAAAGCAGGAAACTTTAAACTGCCTTTTTGTATTGGCAGTTTGTCAGTCACTTTTCTCTATGTCCTGCAGACTGTCTGGCACACTCTTCCATGAAGCAGGAACTCTGTAGCAATGTCCATCTTGAATCAGCAGTCACTTTTCTGTGGGCCCTGCATGTCCAGTTTATACAGCATAAAGTCAAACAGTCCAGACAAGTGCAGTATCTTACCCAAATGGCTAGCCTTGCCATATTGGAGGCAAACTCCAAAAAGTTTTCTTTAATGTTCATCCTTTCTTCTGAAGAAGATGGTGTTGCCAGGAGAAGTTATGTCTCATTGTCAAGAAAAACCATAAACCATTTTAAATGCCATATTCTGTAAGTCTTTAAAATGTTTGAAGAATGCCTATTTATCTCAAATACATGTCTGTATATCTAGAAATTTTAACTAACTTAACTATAAGATCTGACTATCATAGGCACTATCTATAATCTGTATTGAATTATGCATTACATTTTTACACAATACATAAAGAAGAGGAGAAATATACATATCACAAACTTGACCTTAAATTGTATCAATAAATGAAAATCCATACCAAAACAAAATATTCATATCTATACCATCATCCCATTTTTACCTTTAAAATATTGGTTGTGATCATTAACCATTTATATCCACCCCATTTAAATGAAAACAAGCATTTATAAACAATATTTGGGAATTTGGGTGTCGTTCTTTCCAAACTACTTCCTGCTGGTAGGGGGCACTGTCATGGGGATCCTAACAAGAGGTAGATATCCAGGCTATAGTCTGCAAAGCTGCCTTGTTCAAGGCTGCCTTGTTTTGAATGTCGGATCACCAGGAACTCTGGTTCTGGCTTGATCAAACCTCATTATTCTAAAAGGAATCCACAGCTTTTCATTTTCTGTGGAAAGAAAAAAAAAAGCATTTTTAAAATTGAATTAATCCAGGAGTATTTTTTTTTATCAGTTGTTGTTATTTCCTCAGCAGTTTAACAATTTAAAGACAACAGAATAGCATATAGTATCCACAGTTTTTAAGTGCTTTTTATTTTTACGTGGCTTTTTATTACTCTGTTTTTGTTAGTTTTATTTTTTTCATTTTTTGAGAAAGGGTTTCTTTGTGTAACTTTTATCTGTCCTGGAACTCACTCTTCAT